GCTTACCACTACAAATGGCACAAAAAGGTCATTTACAGATGATGAGTAAAGACTGCTTCCTACGTGCATCTGAAGAACTGTTTCGTGTTTTCAAAAAGAAACCAGAAATCCTGAAACAAAAATCAAAGATTGGCCAGTACAAGATTGAATAGATAAATGTCTTCAAATGTAAAATATTTGCCGGTGGAAGATATTAAACTTTCTACTATCTTATCACTTGCTATAGATTAGTCTTGCGACATAAAGACACAGCACAAGTTGCCTATTTTGTCAGGTATGTCTTCCCTAGGATATCTACAACCATATCCTCTTTGAATGCCCCTTCATAATCCACCTTAGGCAGACGCTACTACCACTCCAGCCCAACATAACCAACAGCAGTGCTGAACAACTGAAGAGAACAGCACACTATTTTTCCTCGGCACAATCTGCAAAAGAGCTGACAGCTCAGCAGGAAAAAGCAAGAAGAAGAAGAAGGATTGCTAGCTCTCTCATGACAAACTAGAGGGGGCGATAGACTGAAGGCTATGCAAAAATACTTTGAAGACGATAAGATCGATTTAAATAAAATCATTTAAATAGCAACTGATAGAGACAGAAGTATGACATGAAAAAAATGAAAAGGCAACAACTATTCGTCGGAGCAAAATAAACATTTTACTATATGATTGATACAACAGAGAAATGAAATGAGCTGAATCTAAAGCTGTAAGGAAATGAAAAAACCCATCCTATGTTTTGGAAGAGGAATTAGTTTGTTTTGAAGAAAAATTAATTCTTTATGCATATCTTCAGAGCGGTCAATTATTTCATTTTCAATGTCTAAAGCAGTATCGCGATAAAAATCAGAGCAGCTTTAGACACAAATTACTTCAGCACAGTTATTTTAAAAAATCCAAAGATGAATTTCTTGACAGATTTGAGCAGCTCAAAACCAACAAAACTATTATAGCATTCCTAGTACACCATCTCAACACAAAAAGTCACGAAATCCACATTTAACCAATTGGAATTGATACTGGATCTCGAGAAATGTAATTCATTGATTAGAAAAGTAAAACTTAGTGGGGTGGAAAATTTACAGAGTTGAAAAGCAAGTTGGAAGTGTTGGAGGTCCAGAAATGTAGGTATGAACATGTACGTAACGCAAACAAACATGGACAGCTTTTAAAATTCAAAGAAATGCCATGAGTTAATTGGGCGCATGGAATAATCTTCCAGATTGCTACAGTCAGGTGAAGAAGTTGGCATTTTGGAGTGCTGACTATCTTTGGATCGACATATTCGTGCGAAAAAGCATTCTCTTGTATGAATCTAATTTAAACTAAAGTAAGAAGCCAACTAACAATTGAAAATTTAGAGTCATATTTAAAATTAAGAAAACAACAAGTTACCATATGTGCCAAATGTATCCTAACTTTGTAAAACCATGCAAAGCCAACGCTGCCATTGAATTTGATTGCTCAATTGTTTGTTATTGAAGCACAAGCTAGTGTTGTAAGTAAATGTTTAATTGTTTTAGTTGTTACTGAATTTAAAATAATAATAATAATAATAATATATGATATATATATATATATATAATCTAATTTCTTGTGAGAAAAAAAAACTACTAAAATAAAGGTTGCCGCCCCCTGACCTGGATGACAATCTCTCCACATGTTTTAGCTCTAATATTTTATTTCATTGTAGGAAGACTATAAATCAGTGTATCAAGCCATTCAAATCTATTTGGAGACCAGTTCAAACTTTGCGACTGGACAGAATAAAGCTGGGGAATGACAACAAAACGCATCATCAATTTCTTGTGTTTATAAATAAGAAAACCAAAAAGGTTATTTGGCTCACATCAGATTTATTTCAACACTTAAATGTTTCTTTTTTTTTTTTTTTTTGGAGGTGGGGGGGGGGGGGGAGAGAGAGAGAGAGAATAAATTGTTTTAACTTTAGATAAATCTTGTCACAAAAGTAGGATATGTAAAAATAATAATTGTTTTATTGTTTTACATGTTCCTTTAGAAATAAAGATTATTACATTCTAGCTCAAAACTGCCATCTGGGATCATCGAGTCTACAGTCCAGAGCGCATACTATTCAACATTTGGCATTTAAAGTGATATATCCAATACGTTCGACCTCCATCCACCGACTTTTTTTTTACCTCCCCGCTGGTAGCTGTGTGGATTATACAAAGGTGCGGGGTTTACACAATTTATTTTACTCATAAACATAGCATTACGGCTACTATGGATATACCGGTGGGTCTTTCTACCTCCTATAGTTCGCTGTGTGGCTGTACATAGGAAAGTTTTATGAGCAGCTTATTCTAGACCTCAAGAAAAAAATGGTACCGATGATAGTACTTTAAGTTCCGGTAGTTTACGCCGTCAAGCTTTCCACATGCGGGGTTTATAAAGGTGCGGGTTGTACTATTTTGTTTGTACTTTTTTTGTAATTTGTACGGGGTATTCGCGTGCGCTGCTAAGAAGCGTCAACGGGAATCACATTTTGTAGTCTTTGATCAGTCTCAGTCGTAAGTATAGTGGTGAGCTGGTTGTCTAGATGATAACAGGCTTATAACAGTCATTTAATGATTCAATGCTTTCTGTTCTAGGCAATTTTTGTGTGGTCTTCACAAAATTGTATTCTTAGAGTTACACTTCTGGCGCTATCAGACTTAAGTGAGGTGAGCTGCTTCCGCTAGAAAAACTAACGACTTAGCAGAGTTTAAGTCTTTGATTAATATGCATGACTAGATTGGCACATGAAACGAGTAGTACGAAATCTTTTTTTTTCCTTGAAGTAGCGTCTGTATTTGATAAGATAAGAGAATACGAGAAAGTAAATTGGGGAAAGTAAGAAATGCTAGAAAGAATTTATTTTTGAAGTAACGTCTGTAATCTATAAGATAAGTTAATACTATATTGTTGATGGCTGAGTTCTTCGAACAAATCTAGTCAGTTAGCCTATGACCTTATTGTATAAGGATAAGGTTTACTTTAGTTGATAATTGAATGAATTGTAAATAGAACTAGAAACATATTTTTTGTTTTAATATTAAAATTGAATTTGTATCGTATTGTATTTTTAGCGGCCTCCGAAAGGGGAAAAGACGCTATTACTTTTGTGTGGTCTGTCTGTCCGTCCGTCCCGTTTATATCTCAGAAACTAGAAGAGAAAATGATAATAGGACATCATGATATTTTAGATCATTCAAAGTTCTTATGCAACGGCTTCTTTTCCGAAAGTGAACCATATAATTTTTAAACTTATATATGCAAGCAGTTTTTTTCACAACAAAGACAGAGCACATTTCAATGAAAAACTTCAGGGGAGGTAGCTTTTTTTGAAAGCTTTTTTCATAGAAAACAGTCCAGCGCTTTTTTTTTCTATACAAATTCAATAGCTTTAAACTAAATAAGAAGATCCTAAATACTTTTTACTGCGCGACTATACAAAATCTCCTAACATACGGAATAACTTGTAGGCAAGTCAACGCTTTATCTAACCTGTTGCGCCGTCTAGAAACCATCATAAAAAGGGCATCAAAAATTACACTCACAACATTACCACATTTAATGGAACTTTTTGAAAAAAGTGTCTAAGGAAAATCGAAAAAATCTTGAAAGACAACGGCCACTCGCTCCATCAGAACTATGTCAGGTCATCGCGAAGTGGGCGACTACTGTCAATCAAAACAAGAACAGAGCGATACAAAAACTAGTTCGTACCTCACTCGGTCAGACTATATCAATGCCACTCGTTGATCAGGAAACATGAAAAGACCAAGATGCCTGTGTGTAGTCGCTGAATGAACTTTCTATGTTGTGTCTGTTGTACTTATGTGTATGTTTCTGTTGTGTTGTCTTTACATGAGAAAAGAGTCCTTGTAATCACAACAAATTTCCATAAGGATCAATAAAGCAGTCTTAGTCTTAGTCTTAGACTTCTTCATTAATAACTCAAGCTTCATTAATATATTCGCGCATTGGTACAAAAAATTTGCATCTAAGGTCACAATGGTTCATTATAAAATGTATTTTCCATTTATTAACTAACTCATTGAATATAATACTGATTCAAATGTTGTTTTAAAAAAGAACTTTTATACCAACTTTTTTTTAGTTATAACGTTAAAAAATAACGTACTATTTTTACAGAGCGCAGTTTTGACATATCCTCATTATAGGGGTTTACACTTGACAGTCTAAAAAGACTAAATAGAGACAAATCTTGATATATTTATAATACATGTATTAATAATTTGAACAAAATTTTAATTATTAAGGCAATAACTTATCTTCTGACAGCTTAGGGGTGCAGATTTATTTATTATGTAAACAATAAGAATTGAATCGGATACGAACAGCATAGTACACCATTAGCAATGGCATTACCCGGTAACAAAAGGCCTACTATTCATGATCATAACATTGGTCTAGTAATTTTAATATTAACATGTCTAGATATAGTAGATTTTATATTAAGATTCTATTTCTAGTGAGATCTATGTCTAGTTTGTATGACAAATGACAATGGAGATATTATTTTTTGAGGAATGTCTGGTCCAAGTAGACCTACTCCAAGTCTGTCAAGTCATTTCTAACTTGCTCACTACCTAACTAAAAAAGGTCAAGAATTTTTTTTTTTCGTGTTGCCAATTTATCTAATTTTGTAAGAAGAATAAAACTTTTTTAGTTTCTCTTTATTACATGTTACATGTTATTAATTTTAAATATATGGATAATGTTAATTATTATTATTTTAAAATAAGTGTACGCTAAATGGAGATGCTTTGGCTGAGTGGTAAAGCACTTGGAACCAGAAGTCCCGTGATCGAATCCTGGTGAAGACTTTAGGTAGACCACTTCGGGGGCCGAGTTTGTGTGGAAACACAAACTGACTTTGTAACCTTGTTTTTATTTATTTTTGTTTTGATTTCTATTAGCATTTAACTCTTAACAATAAGTAAGTTTTAAGAAAAACTCAAAGAAAATGTAATTAACTTCTAAAGTTTATAAGCATAAAAATTATTCAAGACATTGTTTCATAGGTAACTTACATAACTATGTACTCCGCGTGTTTCATTTCATAGTCACATACACTAAAAGTGAATTAGATCATAGTCACATACACTAAAGTGAATCAGATAATAGTCACATACACTAAAAGTGTTACTTTACTTTGGGTGAGACTTAGATATCGTACGCTTAGTCACGTATGGAACACATATGATGTACGCTTTTTTACGTATGGAACACATATAATGTACGCTTATTCACGTATGGAACACATTTAATGTACGCTTTTTTACGTATGGAACACATATAATGTCCGCTTATTCACGTATGGAACACATATAATGTACGCTTATTCACGTATGGAACACATAATGTACGCTTATTCACGTATGGAACACATATAATGTACGCTTATTCACGCATGGAAAACATATATTATACATTTATTCACGTTAGAAACATATATTATACATTTATTCACGTTAGAAACATATATTATACATTTATTCACGTTAGAAACATATATTATACATTTATTCACGTTAGAAACATATATTATACATTTATTCACGTTAGAAACATATATTATACATTTATTCACGTTAGAAACATATATTATACATTTATTCACGTTAGAAACATATATTATACATTTATTCACGTTAGAAACATATATTATACATTTATTCACGTTAGAAACATATATTATACATTTATTCACGTTAGAAACATATATTATACATTTATTCACGTTAGAAACATATATTATACATTTATTCACGTTAGAAACATATATTATACATTTATTCACGTTAGAAACATATATTATACATTTATTCACGTTAGAAACATATATTATACATTTATTCACGTTAGAAACATATATTATACATTTATTCACGTTAGAAACATATATTATACATTTATTCACGTTAGAAACATATATTATACATTTATTCACGTTAGAAACATATATTATACATTTATTCACGTTAGAAACATATATTATACATTTATTCACGTTAGAAACATATATTATACATTTATTCACGTTAGAAACATATATTATACATTTATTCACGTTAGAAACATATATTATACATTTATTCACGTTAGAAACATATATTATACACTTTTTATTATACACTTATTTACTTTTGAAACACATATGTATGGCATCTACTAGCGACAGACTGTTCCGACAAAAGCAGAGCAGTTGGTTTTTTGTATTTGTTTTTGACTCGGTGGTTTGTTAATAACACCTAATATGTCAGCGAACCTGAGAATTGCAGATGAAAGCAGTTTTTCTCGTGACAACGTAGTCCTAGGTGTGATCTATTTTCCCACATCCAGGATGGTCCAGTGCATACATAACAGTTGTCTGCCGGTGGTTGGTTACATAGATTTTTTATCCCTGTGCCAGCCATTAGTCGTAGATGTTCTATAGGTCCCAAAAATCTCCAAGGCCTATTGTTAGTACAAAGGGCCTTTTTCTTCTTCTTCTAGCCAGCTTTTTGCTGCTGAGCTGTGAGCTCTTTTGCAGACTGTGACAAGGAAAAATAGTGTGCATTTTTCTTCAGTTGTTTATCACTGCCATTCAAGGTGTTTATGCCACAATATTGAGTTATGTTCATAATAACTTAACATTTCAATTAAACCGATATATTTTGCTACACCAGAGTATCTAAACAAAATATATAGTAACCCCAAGATTTACGGACTCGTTGCTCTATTGTTGTATGACAGCATTTCTAAAATACTGAATTTAGTTAGGTTCTCGCCCCTCCACTGTCTGTAAGGAGCCAGGATCTCGTGATCAGGGGGCTTTCTATTGATGCTTAGAGCGAACCTTCCATCGGCCTGCTCTCTGTCCACTCGGCTCCAAGCCAAGTGTTCAGTGACCACTGGATGGGGTTCATGTACAGCGCTGCTAACTCTGATAGTTTCTTTATAAATATAATGAACGGACGCAACTAAAAGGACCAGTAGTCCAGAGAATGCGATTATCCTGCAGATGTCCTGTCTACGATTTGGTATTCTGTTTGCACAATGAGTCATTATCTGAAAACAAAGTACAAAAATGCAATGTCAAACAAATACACATTCCTTGCTTATTGTATCTTATCTTATCTTATATAATACAGACGTTACTTCAAAAAAGAAGATGATTACGTCCTACGCGTTATGCATTTAGTCATGCATATTAACCAATGACTTAAATTCTGCCAAGTCACTGGTTTTTCTGGCTAGCTCAGGCAACCCATTCCATGCTCTAATAGCACTAGGGAAGAAGGAGTATTTGTACAAATTTGTCCTAGCATATGGGACGAGGAATGTGCCTTTATTTTTGTGTCTTTCAGAGTATTTTATTAAATTTTGTTTTTGTATTTGAAGATTATGGTTCAGTGTTTTATGTATAATTGCTACTTTACTTTTGAGTCTTCTGTCCTGAAGGCTTTCTAAATTTAGTGATTTTACTAATGGTGTTACCCTAGTCAAATGTGAATATTCGTTTGTTATGAATCTCACTGCTCTATTTTGTGTTTGTTCCATTTCTTAATGTTTTCTTGAGTTGAGGGGTCCCACACGGTGGATGCATATTCTATTATTGGCCTAACCAAGGTTAAATAACATTTTAGTTTTATGTTCTATTTGATTTATAGAAATTTCTTTTAATAAATCCTAATGCTTTGTTTGATTTTTTTTATAGTTTCATCAATATGTGGATTCCATGACAGCTTTTCATTTATTATAACACCTAGGTATTTTGAGTTTTTAGTCTGTGTTACTGGTTTGCCATGAATAAGATAAGTGGAATTAATTTGTTTTAGTTTTTTTGTTACTCTTAACAACTGGCATTTTTCTGGGTGGAAAGACATGCTCAAATTTGATTCCCATTTCTGTAATTCATCTAATTCTCTTTGTAAAATATCTGTGTCTTGTGTTGTTTTTATTGTTCTATATATTATGCAATCGTCTGCAAATAATCTGACTTTTGTTCCTGAACTAATGCAATTTGGTAAATCATTTATGTAAATCAAAAATAGTAGTGGACCCAAGACTGTTCCTTGAGGTACACCTGAGTTTACTGTTATTGGTGTTGATTTAGAGCCATTTATTATTACAGTTTGTTCTCTCCCTATCAGAAAATCTTTAATCCACTGATGCAGTGGACCATTAATGCCGAAATATTTTAATTTTTTAAGCAAGCTATGGCGGTGAACTTTGTCAAAAGCCTTGGAAAAATCTAGTAAGATAGCATCTATTTGTTCACTATTATCTAAACCTTTTGAAAAATCATCAATTAGTCCTATTAGTTGTGTTTCACATGATCTATATTTCCTAAAGCCATGTTGGTATGGGGTGAGGACATTATGTTTTTCTAAGTGGTTTATGATATTGCTACATATTATGTGTTCTAGTATTTTACATGTGATGCTGGTAAGTGATACTGGTCTGTAGTTTCCTGGATCAGATTTTTCTCCTTTTTTAAATAGGGGGGTGACATTAGCTTCTTTCCAGTCCTTTGGTACTCTGCCCTGGTTAAGCGATGCCTGAAAGAGTATTTTGAACACTGGGGCTAGCTCATTGCTTAGTTCTTTGAGTAATCTAGCTGGAATACCATCAGGTCCAGACGCTTTATTTGGTATTGAGTTGTCAACAAAAGGAATACATTTTATTTTAATTTAGAAACTCTAGTAAAAAAAAGTTTAATAATATAGTCATGAATTTATGATTTATAAATTAAACACACGCAAAATATAACAAATACGTTACAAAAAAGCAAATATTATTTACGGGAAAGAACTCCACATTTTACAACTATATGTTGTTTTTTTATTTAAAATTTTATTTCCTTGTCAATATCAAACAAAATAATTAATTACCAATAATTAATTTACTAAATGCTTACTTTTCAAAATAGATTAATGTTTTTAGATACAAAATATAATTATAGAAAGTTCCAACTTGATCGGAGAATGGGTGTGGGAGAAATAACGTGGACGATTCAGAAGAATTAATTCCCCTTTTTGTATCAAACCAAATAATTCATTACCAGTAAGCATTTGACTGATTGTTTATTTTTCATTTTTTATCGAGTCATGATTGTTTAAGTACAATTAATAATTGTAGACATTTCAACAACAAGGTATTTGACCAGACAGACGGAGAGTTTTTATTACCTTTGTACAAATGACAATGAACATTGAGGTAAGAAAATAGCCAGATTTTATTCCATTACTAAAAGTTATTAATTTGCGCACATGCTTAATCTTCTGGCACCATTTGTTTCTGTGTTAACGTACACATACCTAAAAAGTACTGTCATGTCATTGCAATATTATCTAGTTTTTAGACGTAAGGTACAGCCATAATAAATCTATCGACTGCATTGAAACTACAGCAATGATGTATCTAGACAGTACTCTAAAACTATTATCATATACTTGTCATAGTATCTAGTGACAAATGAAGGTCCAACTCTAATAGATCCACTAGATTTAAACTTCATAATGCTAACTTAATGCTAAGAACAAAATCTCGAATAAACAGCTGATAGAATCAGCAAGTGTTGTAGATATTCAGAATGTTGTAGCCACAAAGTTTTTCAAGACCATTTTCCCCGGACTTTTTTGTCTGTAAATAAAGTGAAATTAAATTAAATTAAGTAACAAGCATTTGCAATCCTCGCATAAACAAACCTAATACACAACCCACATACATGAAATATATTCCATAAATAAGTATCCAGTAAGAAATCAAACAAAGTTCAATTAAATCTAGATTGTGCTTAAGCATTAGCGAACAATGGCACTGACATTTAATTTCGATATAAGCGATGTCATTCATTAAGCAGTGCAAGTCTGTATAGGCAGCCAACCAAATCTGGACAAATAATCATTGTGAAAACAACCTGGGAATGCTTCGAGTACTTGTGTAACGTCCCCCACCACCCACCCCCGGTATCACCATTTTACCTTTCTAACACATTTTCAAATCTGACCAATCGAGCAAAAGTGCGCGCTGATATTTGTAACAGATTTTTTTCTTGATCGCCTTTACTTAGCTCAGCTAGGCCCATGATGTGAATAATATCAACACGGAAATCAATTTGCTAACACTACGCCGAATCAACAGCAGGTAGATATCAACACAATTACGCCGAGAGATAGACTCTAGTTGGTCCTTTTTTTTTTTCTCCGGATGAAAAATGGAACTGTTTATTCTAGGAAACA